TTGTGTAATCCAGTGTTTGAATTGATTGATTGATGATAGTTTTATTCAGACATGCCATATTTATTTTAAAAGGTGAACCTTAAGGTTAGTCCGATATTCAGGTTAGCAAATGTAATGCCTAACTGTTAGTTTTTACTGAGGAAAGCGGGTAAGGCCGGAATATCTGAAAGAGTGTCGAAGCACAGGAGAAAACTGACCAAGCTGTGTAAGATAATTTAATTGATGTACACGGAAGTTACTCCACCAACGTAAAATCCATGACCTTCGCCTGGTGTAATAGGCTTAATTCACTGGTGAGTAGCAGCGCGCTATCCGCATCTGGCAAGGCTTAGTCATAATAAGCCACAGGGATTAGTTAGTAATAATTATAATAATAACAGCGTTTCGAAGTATTGCTCCATGCAGGTTTTTAAGATATGTAGTTGTTTGACATTAAAATTAAAGTGTTTAAAGTTAAAGTTTTCATACCTTTACATGCAATTGCGATGCTTTTTTTAATATCTAAAGAGAAGGCTATTCTTCGAAACATTGTTATTAAAGTAATTGTTACTTATCCTATGCTCTGGTTAATACAAACACTGGATTGTTACAACACCACTTTATAGAGGATGTTCCTTTACACAGTTTTGAGTAGACTTCTGTTACAAATGCAGTATCAGTGGCCAACTAAGAATAACTGAGTAGCAAAGCTGTGACACATTTTCTGGATCATAAAGTTTGGTAGTCTACATATAGATTAAATCGTATATTTATCTCATATTTATTGTTAGGTTAAGTTACTCGCCATATGTCTCTTCGTTGATAGATAGTGAAGCAACCATCTACTCAGCGCGATTTTTCGTAATTTTATTTATTCATTGTAATTTTGTTATGTACTGATTTTATCAGAACAATAAGTGAAATAAGAACCTAGCTAGCTAGAGATTTCTAGAAGTCAAGAGCAAGTAAATCAAGACACCGCGTTGAATTTTAGGGTAACCAAACAAAAATTTCCCAGAATTTAAGAATTGTTGTTCTTTCGCACCGTTGACACCATAATTAACTTTTTAGAAAAGTTTCTGAAGAGGGCCTTGCCGCGATACATAAAAATGTTAGTTGCACTACAGAGTATCAATATGTAATTTTGATGTATTTATTTGAAGCTATATCTTTTATTATCAAAACGTCTTTGATAATATATACAGTACCAGGTGCACTGGGAGCTGAAAGTGTATTTATTGGCTTTGCAATACACCAAATAATAAATTGGAATCCGGAATCCACTGCAGTTCCGGAATCCGGAATCTAAGATGTGGAATCCGGAATCCAAGGAGTAGGATCCGGAATCCAAGCACCTCCTGGATTACCTCACATGGGGCGATGGAATGGTTTTCCTCGAAAATTAACCTCAAAACTTATTAACCAATTTAAACCATCACCACCGGTATCTAATGACAACGAGCGAAGCCACAATGACTGAAACAAACAAAGCTCCTAAAATCTGGTTACAGCTACCATATCTTGGCAAATTTGGTGAAAGACTAACTCGTATGAAAATTTTCACTTACATTGAAGGGGGTTACGAAAATTTTTTCATAGGTTTTTGGGAGGATATGGAAATATGTACTTGAATTTCATTTATCCTCCACCCCCCTCTAGTAATTACTTTATGACCGGTCCCAAATAAATAAAATATAAAAAATGTTATCGATCTTTGGAGTTACACTAGTTTTGTATTTTATCTTCCCATGTCTTTCTTATTTGCAGACAAAATTGATTGAGAAAGCCCACCACGTAGTCGACGCCGAATTAGATTACAGCTAAGAGAAAGCTGCGGTCCCGAAAGACTACAGCTATTAATCAGTTATATAAAATATCAAAACAAGCTTCTCAAATTCATTAATAATTCATGAGCAATTCAGCCAATGATAATCACCTATTTGATCACAAGATGCCATTTGGATACCTGATGAAAGTCACTAGTGTTTTCATCAAATATCTTAATTACGCATGCAAAATTACTTGAATAGAATTCCTAATTACGTTATGCTTGGTTAAGAATTCTATTCAAATCATCAAACGAAAACATTCTGTTACGTCTCGATTCATTTGAGAAGCCATATAAACAACTCGAGCTCGTGTCTCACCGGGATATCCAAACACTCGAAAACAATGTACGAAAACACTCGCGCTTCGCGCTCGTGTTCTCATACACTGTTTTCTCGTGTTTGGATATCCCGGTGAAACACTCGCTCTCGTTGTTCATATATTACTTCAAACACTCATTAATAATTCATAAGCTTATTGGCAAATCATGTCAACCATAATATGTCACGTGCAGTGGCTTTAAACCTGATAAAACACTCCTAATTAGTATTCTTTATATAAAGAATACTCAAATAAGGCAGTATCTATTGTAGTCGTGTCCTCATTAGTATTCTTTATATAAAGAATACTAATAAGGCAGTATATGTATTGAATTTGTAGTCGTGTTTGAAGCCGTTTAATAAACTCGCAGGTCGTGTTTTATTAGGTCTAAAGCAGGGCGTAGTACGCCCTGGTCTAAAGCCACTCGCGCTGCGCGCTCGTGTCTTGAAACCTAATAAAACACTCCTGCTAGCGCTCGTTTATTAAACAGTACATAAAACATAGCCTTGTTTCACTTTTCAACATCATAATCAAACACAATTTGGCGCTTTCCTTAATTTAACTGTATTTGGCGTGAAAGTCATACAAAGGCAAGAAATTTGCATGCCACAGCCACTCAGCCAGCATCATTAGCTATTTTAAACTGAGCGCGCTAGGAAGTGCATCGTACTTCCGACGGAAGTTTCCCCCAGTTCACTCACTGGTTCAACTTCGCGGTCAAATCCAAGATGGCGGCCAATGTGTAATTTCAGGAATCAGGATTTAGAATTTTAGGTATTTAGCCCTGATTATTTCATGCCATATTTAACCCATATTTCCTGAAGAAAATGCATTCTAGCCTGGCTCCACACCTTCATGAAGAATGCTTAGATGTTATTGATATGTTAAAAACTTGTCATGAACAGGTACAGTAACTACAGTTTGAAATACTACGTATAATTTTATAATAATATTTTCTTTGAAAATGGCATATTGCATTTTGTATCCGTACACCCCCTGTTGAGGACCTTGGAAATCCAGGGGATGCCTTTTATATTTAACCCTGGAATTCCAGTGGGTGGGGGTCAAACCAACCTGGAATTCCAGTGGGTGGGGGTCGAAATAACCCTGGAATTCCAGTGGGTGGGGGTCAAAATAATAAGATTTACATGGAAATTCCGGGAAAGGGGATAAAATAATGATACCGGAACTGGAAATTCCAGGGGAGATCAACTTATTCACAGTGGAATTCCGGAGTCGTGGAAAAAATGCATTTCCAAGGGTCATTGATTGTCATCATCGAAAAAAAAAAGTGCTTGGAATTCCAGGCACTCCCTTCTACAAACCACATTTTTCCAGGGCTTCTGACAAAAAATTACTTGGAAATCCGGGGGGTAGGAGAATTTATGCTGTGTGTCCTCAACAGGGGGTGTACGGATAAAAAATGCAATAAGCCAATTTCAAAAATATTCTCCAATTTTTCATCTTACTATCTGCCTATCTACAGATCATTGCCAGTAATGGACAGAATTGAGTCTTCATGCTCGAATTATATATACCAAAATTTTCATGATGTTTGGACAGGCAGGGCTGAGGGCGCAAGTTTAAATATGCGGCAGGTCTTTTCCGCGGGTAGCGGGTGGCGGGTGGCGCACGGGTGGCGGTTGTTCTCCTAATTCACATGTCTTACAAAGCTTGAAATTCGTTAAAATTGCCATTTCAACGTTTTACTCATTTCCATCGCCTTCTTTTCAGTATATGACCATTGCTTCTAAATGTAACATGATACTGTAAACAACGTAATATGAAATGTAGACAGAGTGAGCGTGCACCCTGAGAGAGAAGGATGCTTATGTAAGAAATGATGAAATAAAGTATTAAAACCGAGTGTGTTATTTACGGTGTCTCGCCACGTTACATAAACATACATAGGACATTATGCCTGAACGTAGATTAATTAATGTATCTTACGTAAGGCACCATGCAGGCCAGCTGGGGTGGAAAATAGGCGAGCATACGAGCACCGCTCGCAGGAAATGTTAAACAGCTGCAGGAAATTTGTAGGAAATTCTAATATGGAAGGGCCACTATGGGAGCAAAAACTCATGGTCGTCAGGCATTTTTACTTTTGTTGAAAACAATAGTCTGCTAGCTAAGGTGTAGTCTATGTTTATGCACATGCAGTTTCAGCACAAATAACTCAGTTGGTGCATGCACAGGAAATCTTAAGATCAAGGTTGTGCTTCCAGGAAGAAAACTGTTTTTTTCCAGCCCTAGGCCACCATGGATGCGCATATTGTAGAATGGACGCATGGAAGTTTTGTTTTTCAAAATGGTACAAACAAATAGAATTAAGCCTCAGGAGACTTAATACCTTTCTATTGTCTGAATTTTATATTTCATATAAGCAAAGTAATTTATTTATCGCTATTCATTAACGGTTCATTTGTTACAATGAAGAGCTGTTATAATTTACTCAGGTGATTACTTATAACTAAAGACTTTTAAGCTTATTACAGGGGTTAAGCGCAATCGTCTGATTAATGGACCATTTGCATTATAGACTAAATTTTGATCTAGACAAAGATTTCATCACAGCTTGAAAGAGCATCACAGAATTAGTAATATTCCAAAGTTTTGTTGCAAAATGTTGTAAAATTGATGCCCCAACCCCGATTGGGCTTAAAAGTCTTTAGTTATAAGTAATCACCAAGTAAATTATAACAGCTCTTCATTGTAACAAATGAACCGTTAATGAATAGCGATAAATAAATTACTTTGATTATATGAAATATAAAATTCAGACAATAGAAAGGTATTAAGTCTCCTGAGGCTTAATTCTATTTGTTTGTACCATTTTGAAAAACAAAACTTCCATGCGTCCATTCTACAATATGGGCACCCATGGTGGCCGAGGGCTGGAAAAACAGTTTTCTTCCTGGAAGCACAACCTAGATCTTAAGATTTCCTGCGCATGCACCAACTGAGTTATTTGTGCTGAAACTGCATGTGCATAAACATAGACTACACCTTAGCTAGCAGACTATTGTTTTCAACGAAAGTAAAAATGCCTGACAACCATGAGTTTTGCTCATAGCTCAGTGGTTTTGCTCCCATAGTAGACTTGCTCCAAGTCGACCTCCAGGGACACGCATAAATTCATTCAATTCAATTCATTCGCATAAATAAGGACGTATTAAAGGCGAGGGACTTTGCGAAAGTCTACTCCCATAGTGGCCCTTCCATATTAGAATTTCCTACAAATTTCCTGCAGCTGTTTAACATTTCCTGCGAGCGGTGCTCGTATGCTCGCCTATTTTCCACCCCAGCCGGCCTGCATGGTGCCTTACGTAAGATACTGACATTAATTAATCTACGTTCAGGCATAATGTTCTATGTAATGTTTACAACATCAGCGGCCGTGTTGTATCAG